TTTTTGGTTGCAGCCATCATTGTTGTTTGGCGGACCCGGGCTGGGGATTCGAACCTGCCACCTTAGGTGTATGTGGCTGGCGCCTTAGCCACTTGAGCCTCAGGCGCCGAGCCGGAATGTGTGATTTCTAATGGGATGAACATGGCTCAGTCCCACTAGCTGTGCCACCTGGAGCAGGTATTTTGCTTGTCTGAGTTTCAGATCTGTTTTTTGGAAGAAATGATTGAGAAAGTGTGGTAGTGACCAGCATAGTGCCCAACATAGCTACTAAGGTGCCTTCTGGCAATTCCTGTGGAAGCAGGCATAGGCCAGATGGTGTTCCATTGGCAGCCCCTATGGGCCTTTCTGATTCTCAGGCTCTTCATCACAAAATAGTGAAATGGTGACCTGCTCTTACCGAGTGGTGAGTGCTGGGGACTAGTCTGAGTCATATGTATCAGCTACCTCATTTGATGCTCATAGCCCCACAGGGCAGATGATGACGATGATTACTATCACATTTTACACATGAGGTAACTGAGGGAGGTATCTTGTGGCACAAAGGCCACTCACCTAGTAGGTGATAGAAGCAGAGCCCACACTTTGATCTGGTGGGAGGTTAAAGTGTAAAATCATAAAGAGTACAGTAGTTGCTTGAAGTAACCACAGTGCCTGTGGTGGAGGAAACCTGTGCTCACCGATTCCATCTAGGGTCATCTCTAGGAAGCACATGAGCGTGCTACAGGTGTCATTGTAAGCACTTAAGAGCGAGTATGTTTTCATCTTTTCTTGCATCAAACTTCTAGAAAGAAATGACTCGAAGATGACAGAATCACAAGTTGGAAAGAACTCCTCTATCTCCCAACATGCACTAGACAGTGTCATGGGGAAGAATAATGCTTTTTAATGTTTAGCTACTAAAAAAACCAAGAGACACAGAGGTACGCACAGAGAGGGCCATGTGAGGATACAGGCACAGGGAGGGGAGAAGGCTGCATGAAGATGGAGGCTGATATGTGCGAGCTTATACATGGAGCGATGTGTGTACTAGCCAAGGAATGCCAAAGATCGCTGGCAACACAAAAGCTAGGAAAAAGACCTGGAACAGATCCTCCCCTAGAGCCTCCACAGGGAGCATGGCTCTGCCAACACCTTGATTTTGGGCTTCTGGCTTCCAGAACAGTGAGATAATCCATTTCTATTGCATGAAGTGCCCCCAGTTTGTGAAACTTTGTTACCCCAGCCACATGGACTTCATACCTGGGCCTTACCCAGGATCCTAGCATGTGCCCAGACTTCCAGGGCTCAGCTGTTGTGCTCCCTCGCCCCCAGCCATTTGGCTAAGTAACTATTTTTTTTGCCATGGGAAGCTATGTCATACTTGATAGCAGAAGTCTGTGGGAAAGACTGCCAACATAAATTCATGATTTTTTGGGGGGGGGAGCAAATATCTCTCCATAAGGTGCCAGCTGTCTGGATATGGAATTTGGCTCAGTCTAGACCTACTTAGCCTTATGAAGATGGGCTGGCATGCCAATAAAATGACAGTGCTATGCCGTTTGACTTTTTGCCTGTTTTGGAAACATGGACTCTGGTAGTTGGAGGGAACTTTGAAGACATTTTTCTCTTCTCTTCGCAGCTTCCTGTAAAATGCATCTTCTAGGGTAGCCAGACCTTAAGGGCGATGTTCAGAGCAGAGAAAGAGAAATCCAGTGAAATGAGGTGAGGGGAGTCTCTGCACCATCACCACAGTGGTCACTTGCAAGTTTCAACTGCAGACCTTACTGGCTCTTCCAGGTTTGAGCAGTGGTGGTGCCATGGAGCATGGGTGTCCCCATGCATGGGTGTCCAGAGGTAGCTGGGAAGCATAGGGACACCGCATGTGGAGACAGTGAAGTCTCTCATTGGAACCCTCATGCCCTGCTGATGGGAACATAAAATGGTATAGCCACATGGTGGTTTTGCTGAAAAGTACATGTCGAAGTACCCTATGATCCAGCAAGTCCACTTCTGGGTATAGACCCAAAGGAATTGAAAGCAGGGTCTTGAAGAGACATGTGTATAGCTGCATTCATGGCAACATTATTCCCAATAGCCAAAAGGTGGAAGCAGCCTGTGTGTCCTTGGAGGGAAGAATGGACAAATGAAATGTGGCTTCCCAGGAAGGGGGTGAGATTGAGCCTTGACAAGGAAGGAGAAGCTGGCATGTGCTCCAGCATGGCTGACCTTGAGGACAGCGTGCTCAGTGACATGAGCCAGTCACAAAAGGACAAACACTGTGCAGAGCCACAGATGACAGCAGCCCAATCCATAGAGACCGACAGTGCAGTGGCAGGTGCCAGGGGCTGGGGGCAGGTTGGGAGTTGGGTGTTTAGTGGGGACAGCTTCAGGTTAGGAGGAGGAACAAGGACAATGGGGATGGCTGCACAACAGTGTGAATGTGCTGAATGCCACTAGGCTGTGCACTTGAAAGTGCTTAACATGGGACATTTTATGTGATGTGTTATATTTTAGCACAATAAAATCATAGGGAGTATGTGAGTGTGCCAGGTTCTGATGCTTGCGCTGAATTGTCACAATTGCTGAGGGCCACCTGACCCCACCCTTCTGTGAAGACACTAGCCTGGACATTCCATCATAGGCCTTTTCAGGTCAAGACAGCTGGTCACTCCAGCAGTGAGCGTGTTCTCACTGTGCCAGCCGGCTGGCCAGTTCCTCATGGCATGAGGACCAGCCAGGCTACTGCACGCCCAGGGGAAGTTGACCAGTCCTGCCTGAAGCTTCTCCAGCTCTGGCATTTTCTTCTGTATGAGAATTCAGCAAATAATAAATCACACACGTTACCCACACCAGGATGTAGGAGCCTTTCATATTTTTTTATACACAGAAATTTTGGTCTATTCTTTAAATTAGTTAATTCTACTACAGACTTTCGATTATTATGCATTTGTGGTCTTCCTCATGAAGATATTTTTTGTTTATCTTTATAACAAGCAGATAAAAATGTAAAACGTATTTATTAACTGCACACAGCTGACCAAGCCATTCCAGATAATATAATGCTGTATAAAGAGACGTCCCTATGCCTAAAGACTACAAAACCAGAGCAAAAGATTCAAGTTCATGGTTCCCCTTTTCTGAACCCCACACCCCAGCACAAAGGCAACCTAGGGGCTAAACAACCAACACTTATATTAGGCAACCGTTGTACAGCAGCAGTGAGGGTTTTAATGCCTATCAGCCATTGTTCCTCCCAGCATGTCTGCAACAAAATGGCTCAAATAGTTTTATTTCTTGTTTAACAGCGACCCTCAACAAACTGAGTTGCCCTTTTTGTTGGTGTTTAAACAAGGACATCAGGGCACAATTTACAAATGGGTAACACATTCTCAATGTGCCCTTTAGAGAAAGGGATGGCTTTGAGTTACCTGCAGCTGGCATTTTAAAATGGGATTTTCTTTTCTAACCAAAATCCTTTTGCCCGAGATTTGACGACTACTGCTCAGGGTGACATGGTGTTAATATTGATGGTGGGGACAGAGCATATTTCCATTTGGCTTTATATGGATGCTAGTGGAGGTGAGCCAAGCCTGTTGGTGGGTCAGAGCAGAATGGGGCCTCAGTTCCTGAGGGCCAGTCCATATCCAGTCTGATCCTAAGTCCCTCAGCTCACAAATGTCTCCAGCAGCTGAGACCCAGGCTCATGGGACAAGCATAGTAGGGCCTGTGGTAGAACCCCAGCCACCTCCCTGCAAAATGTGACACCTGAGTCCAGAGGGTAATGGTATTTCATTGGCAAGGTGCTGCCCACCTTAGTGGTGTCACTGGGAGTGTTTCGAAACCTGAGGCAGAGGGAAGAACTGCCCTTCCATTAAAAAGAGGTGTCCTCAGTAGGGCAGCAAAAGCTGGGACCCTCTCTACCACCTCTGCCTACTCTGCACTTCCCTCATTTGGGGGAAACTGAGGCTTGGCCTGGACCTGGTGCTTAGCCATTATGGGCCCAGGAGAGATGGCCATGGGTGTGATGAGAGTGATAGCAATGAAATGCCACTGTTCCTAGGGGCTTTGCTTCTGTATCCATCGGTTAAACTTGTCATCTGGACAATCAGAGCGGGAGCAGAAGAGCATGGTGGTATGTGGTGCGTCCTGTGCCACAGCAGACACTGAGATGGTCCAGCGAGGACTTCCGAGGGGGACAGGGCCAGCTCCTCCTAGGTTTTGATGATCAATCTTCCTCAATGGTTTGCTTTGGACTCTTGACCCTCTCCCCATCTGCCTGGGACCTGGCCCTGGGGGGGTCTGTCTCTGTGCTCTACTGAGGCTACTCCCAGGGTTCTAAGTTCCATCTGGTCACATGGGGGCAGGGGCAGGGGCAGGACCTGAACCTCACACACAGTGCTTCATGCTCTTGAAGTTGGGGCTGTGGACAGAGGAAGCCACCAACCATAATTAAGGGCTTAGAATTGGAGTTGAAAGCGAAGGAAGCTGAAAACAAAACTTCCCCTTCTACCTACTGGAGAGGGTCATTCTCATCAATATTTTGGTATTTTCCTTAAATAAAAATGTCCCAGTGAAAGGTGATCTCCTCTCCAGGGCAGGCTCTCAAAGTGCAAATGTTCAGGTTGGAGGGGCTTGGTGCCTCCAGCTTCCCTTGGGAAGAGCAAGAAGTCAGGATGAGGGGTGGGACAGTTTGGGACAAAAACAAATTAAGCAACAAGATATTCTTACAGCCTAGTCCCCTGGGGAAAAAACAAAAAACAAAACTTGTTACATTCAATAATGAAATTTCAAAATGAAAACGCCTGATAAGAGGAGTGGAAGTATCATGCCAATAAATAGTTCCTTATTCTTTAAGTATGTATCTTGTCACACATATATGCATATGCACACACGCACATATGCACACACGCACGCGCACAGCACGTGTCTGGCTTGCTCTGGGTCCCAAGCACATTCGCAGGCCACTCCTTTAGGCGATTCGTCTGGGCAGTAGCATCCTGAATGACCCTGCAGAGTGCTAGGCTTTTTCTGTCTGAATATGTTGATCTGGCTGCTCCGAACAGGGGTGTGACATAGCTTCCACTAAACTGGAGTCAGGTCCTCGTCCCCCCACAGCAGCAAACATGGTGTTCATTAAAAAAGACACAATAGAAAAGGGTAGGGGCACCGCTCTTCTCATGTCTGCTTGCCCCTTTTACCCCTGTGGGTGAAGAACCTCTCGCCCTCTCCTCTTCTTCCCCTGCCCCTGCCCTGGGCCTGGAGGAGCCCGCAGCAGGCAGTGACCCATGGCGTGGATCTGGCTTCTTGCAAGTGCCCTGCAAGAGAAGCCTTCAGCCACTGTGCTCGGTCCCCTTTGTGCGCGCGTGTGCGTGTGACTGAGTGTGAGCCCGAGTGCGTGTGTGCGCGTGCTGAGATAGGTTCTGGTTAGAGGGATGTCTCCATGCTGTGGAGTGGGCTCCCGGGACTGGAAGAAAACGCTGAAGAGGTAGCTGACTTGGTGACATGCGTGGTCAGGTAGATGCCGCTGTCAATGGCATTGTTGTTCTGATTGGGGGACGGGGGCAGGGGGGCTCGCAGGCGCTCCTCATTTTCGTCCACATCGGTGTCGTCGATGAGTGGGATGTTGTGGGTGTAGTCGTTGATCAGAAACTCGGGCGTTGCCATGAAGTTATGGATGGAGGGCTTGGATTCCGGTTTCTCCAGGCCTTCATAGAGTGAGCTACGGAACGCTTTCACCACCCGGATCTGGAGCAGGAGATGGAGGAACATGGGCCCGAAGGAGGAGCAGGGCAGGAAGAAGAGAAAGGAAACAAAGGAAGGAAGCAGACAGTCAGTGGCTGGCTGGCGCTGATGGCTCCACCCGCGTATCAATAGCTGGGGGTCTCCAAAGGATAAATGTCCATCCAGTGGAGGGTCGCCATGGACAGCAGCTCTGCCTGGCTACAGAAAAGGTTTTCAGGTCTGGGCCTTCGCCTTGTCAACTGATCCATATGCAGGACAAATGACAGTGGCTTTCTCTAGTCTCTAGTGACTTGGGCAGCTATCTGGAACTCAAGAGCAATGCTCTCTCTCCTTCCCTGGCCTGAGGGGAGGAGTGCTTTAGTGATCTCTGGGCTCTCTGCCTAATCTCAATTCCAATTTGGTAGAAAGGAAAGATGATTTGAGGAGGAGAGAGTGCTGCAGCACGGGCTTTCTCTTCTGTCCTTCCACAAAGTCCAGAGTACCTTCTGAAAGAGCCAGTTCCTAGCCTATGGGCATTGCCAGCCCTTCTCGAGTGAGTCACCCTTGAGACCTCAACCCAGTACCCCAGTTCACTGGCTGCTCCCTCCTCTGTCCCTCGTGCCCCAGACTCCTGCACAGAGCTCCCAACTGGACAGCCTGCCAGTCTCCACCTGGAGGCATCCCTGACTGAAAACAGCCACACTTGTAATTTGTGCCCACCAAACCTGCCCCTGCTCAGAAGCTCACGTCCTCTCTTTATTGTCCCTGTACCTCTGCCTGTGTCTTTGCCACTCTGTAGCTAGATGCCTCTGATTGGGCCTAACTGGATGGTCCATGCTGCCAGCAGCCCTTTGCCATCCGGTGCTACCTGCTCCTCTAGCCTCTTCCACCCTCCTTGTTCTCTGGGAACTTGCCAAATTCTCCCTCCTCTGGCTTTTCTATGCATTGCTCTCTGTCCATCCCCAGTCCCCACCGTGCCCCAGACTCCCCCGCCACTGCAGCCCCTGTCCCCAGCTGGGTTCAGGGCCCCTTCTGAAGCCCCCTGTACCTCCTGCAGGGCCTGTTCCAAGAATCAAGCCTTCCCGCCTGTAGCTTTTCTATTTTTACTCACACAGGGACAAAAGTCTCACATATTTTATTTACATATCACGGAACTGCAGCGTCTCTTTGCTCCCTTCTTGGTCCCCCAGCCTGAGCTACTTCTGGAAGCCTTTCGTGACCCAGTGTCAGTACAGCTGCCAATGGCAACTGATCCTGTGCTGTTAAGGCAAAGCCAGCCACTGGCCCTTTCTGTAGGGGATGGTGGAAATAGCCCTAGCTGCCATGCAGGACCCTGGGATCCTCCTGGCACAAGTCAGCCCCTCCCTGTGTGAGTGGGCGAACACACTATGAATTCTGAAGTCGTTTCCAGATCCAAGGATCTAGGATTTGGCTTGTTGGCAAACTCTGGCCCTCTGCCTGTTTTGGTAAAAAAGTTTTATTGACACATAGCCATGTCCATTCGTCTATTGTCTATGGCTGCTTCTGCACTATAATGGCAGGGTTGTGTAGCTGCCACAGAGACCTGGCCTGAAACAGAAGACATATTTACTCTCTGGCCCTTCATAGGAAAAGTCGACCACCCCTCATTTAGCCAGTGAATCTCTTTCAGCAGGCCAGAGTCCAGATCTTGGGGCAACAGCTCAGTTAGGCAAGCACAGTGCTCCCAAGTCAGTTTATGTAAGGTGAACACCAGCATCTTTTGGGATGGGACAGAGTAAGCTAAAAAGCTCCCTTAAATTGGAATTTTTTAGCACTATATCTGAAATCCAGTTAGGATTTTCTCTAGAGCTGGGGAAGCCACATCTATAGATTGTAGATGGCCAGCTCTTCTCACTCAGGCCTCTGTCCCCAGGCTGGTTTCAGAAATGGGGGTAATATAGAAGTTGAGAATCATGTGACATTTTTTAATGGAAAGAAACAGAATGTACTTTTTGTAGCCAATGAAGACAATGTCCCATTATTTGGGGGCCTTTTCTGGTGCAGGATTATGGTGTGGAAGCCAGTTGGTTACCTATTCTAGCTGTTGGCTATACCCATGAAGTCACAGGAAAGAGAGAGCTGCACGCTCGTGATCCTTGGGGTGTGTGCAGTTAAGTTTGCATGTGGCTTTGGTCACACCTTTCTCCTTGATGAATGGGTTGTCTCATTTGGACCTGTGGCATGTGAACAAGCCAGGCCCTGCTCACATGTGCAGACAGGCCCCACTGCACCTGGCTAAAACCCACAGTCCTTCTCAGCAAAGTGCAGCCAAGGACACATGGATAGCTCTCCCCTGCAAGTGCCTCCTGACCCCCGCTGCTGCTGCTACCACAGCTCTGGCTCTAGGGCTCCTCCAGTGTGCTCCCTGGGTGTTATCTGCCTTGCTAGTTACAACACTTGAGGAAGGCACAAGTGAGTGTATGGCTACAGGATGGGAGGACCCCAGCAAGATAGTATTTCCTCTTGTGCTCTATAGGCCTCTCTTCTCCTCCCACTCCTAATGTATGAGGGCCTGTCTCAGTCTGTTCCAGACTTGGGATGGCTAAGGCGTGTCAAACTCCACAGGCCCTAGCCTCTGCTGCTGCCTTTAGATTCCATCCAGGACCTGCCACTACCCACACTCCTGGCTGGGTTTTAGTGTGGCTGCTGAGCAATCCTTTCAAATGAGAGCCAGAGCCCCTCCCCACCAGGCCTCTGTCCTGTCTCCCCCAGCACCCTGCAGGCATTTCTGCTTCATTTCCTCCCTTCAAATGTCTGATTATTCTCTCCCCTGTCTCCTTTGGCTGGCTGACAAGCCCCTGCAGACATTAGCCTGTTTGCTAATGTCCCCAGTGCCCCATACTCCATGGTACCCAACAGGGGTCAGTGGTTGGGGGCCATAAGGCCTGGTGCTTGTCTCCTGCAATAGTTTTACTCCTCCCCAAGGCTCTAACCCCACTTTTCACTAATCAGCAAGCAGGAGCCTCTGGGGGCATGACACCTGCCCTTTCCCCTGTCTCACCTGTTCCTGCCCCAGCCTGAGCCCTTCTTAGGTGACTGCAGCCTGCACTTAGCTCTCTTCTCTGTTCCTCATTTGCTTCCTGGGGGTGACATGCTGGGCACTGTGGCCTTGTCCCAGGCTCCTAACCTGCACAGATAAATAGTTCTAAGCCTCACACAGGGTAGGTGACATGGCAGACTAACAAGGCCCATCCCTGGACACGCTGAGCTGGAGTGGAAGGGGTGCGGGTGTAAGGCTGTGCAATGTGCATGTAGGGCAGGGGGATGGAAGGGAGGAGGGATGCAGAAGCCAGGAGACAAGTGAAGGCCTGGGTAGCACCTCTGCCTTGAAAGGAAGGGGAAAGGGAAGGAAAAGAAGAGAAAAATAAAAGCAAAGGCTTCTGAGCCACAGTGCCAACAGTAAGAACAGAAACTGCCTGATGCCTTGTTACCTCTTCCAGTTCCTTGGCAGGAATAAGCCCTGACTGCAGCTGAGCTGTGGGGCCTCAGGCCGGGCCCTATGCTCTTTGCTCCGTCTCTACTTCCCTGCCTTTCTACTGCTCTGCACCAACCACTATTCTAGAACCTCCCATGGGAGGCAGGGGCCTGTCAGCTCCTCTGGCATCTGTGTGTTGGACTTAGAGGAAATTCAAAACACAGCAGCCAGACAGACCCATGGGAACTGTTTGCCAGGTACTTTGGAGTTCTAGGCCCCAATCCCTGGCCCCATAGGTATGTGAGTGAACCAAAACTTGAAAGCAACAAGGAAAGGTGTTAAGAGCCTGTGGCGATGTGACACATCAGTCAGTTCAGGCCGCAAGAAGCCCAGTACAGGAAACCTAAAAATTGAGGAAGAGATGGCTTCAGGCACACATTGTTGTGTGCAAGGTCCCCTTTCCTTCTCATGCAACGTCACATGCCTTAAATTGGAAAAAATGAAAATGCAAGCTCCAGAGCTGGCTCTTTCACCAAGGGAATGAAGAGAAACCAAAAACTAAAGACAGCTTTGTGTATGTTGGCAGAAGAAACTGCTAAGGGCTGGCAGGTTTTGTGTCTAAGACCGTGGAGCCTAGACTATGCACCCAACTTGGCACCTGAGCTGCTCACCTGCCCTGAGGATGCCAAGCCCCATACCTTTCAAGTGGCTGGACTGAAGTGCACATAGGAGGGAGCCCCCAGAGCCCTTGCCTGGAAGTTGAACTCAGAGTGTCTGCAGGGGGTTCAAGGCCTGCAAGGGTGTGTGTTGTGGAGTGTGCTTTAGGGATCACCTAGAAGGCTATGCCCCTTTAGTAGGCGCTGCAGTTCAGGAAGGCCTGGGACAGGGCAAGGCTCTCAGTGGAGGGGCTGGCACTGTTCCCAGGGCAGAAGCAGTGTGTGCATGTCAAATATCTGAGGAAAATGCCAATATACTACTTCCAGAAAGCCAAGTACAGAGATTTGGCTCAAAACAAATGAACTTCCTGAGAATAGGGCAAATTCCAGAAAACAAGACCACTTACACTCTTGTCAAGCTCCTCCCACCATGGGCCTGTCCTCATGCAGTGAGCACATCTCTCTAGGCTTTGGGAAGGTGTGAGGGCTCACTCTGCCAGTTTGGCCTCTTTGGATACAAGGTTTTCATGTTGCAAAAGACAACTAGAATAAAGAAACTCCTGTGATCTGTTTCCAGCATGGTTAATTAGAACTACTGGCCCCAAGGGACCTCCTCTGGCCACACTGGACCAAACTTCATGGCCAGTCCCCTACCCCTACCCCTTTGCTGGGCTGGGTTTGGGTCATCTTGTGAACTACTGTGATAGTAAACACTTGAGTACAGTGGCTGGAATAGTGGGGACAGACTCGGGGTTGCATGGCTAGAGAAGAGCTGGGGAGTGTCTGTGTGTCCCAAGGGAAAACAGACACAAAAGAACCCTTGGAGAGCACATGAAATGAGATAGATAGCAGCTGGGCATGGGAGGCCAGAAGAGGAAGTGGAGTTACTGTTGGGACCTGGCGTTTGTGTCCATGTGGCATGGGAGGCTAGAAAGGGTGGGGAGGGCTTGGATTTGGGAGCATTATGCCCCCAAGATCCTACCTCTCTAGACCCCTCCTAGTTATCCCAGCCTCAGAGGACATACTTGGCTACTTCCAAGGTTGTCACTTATTAAGCCCTGGGGAGCCTGGGGTCCTCAGTGGGAATGACTTTGAATAGGAGGCCCCTCCAGTGTTGTGAAAGCTGCAGATATGGCTCCTGAAAGGCTCCTGGCCCCTGGTGGGCTGAAAGGCAGAGTGTCCAGGAACAGGCCAAGAGGATAGAAATTCTCTTACATAGGAAGCTATGGGTTTTCCTTAGGAAACCTCCTGACTTAAGGAACCTTCTGGCCTAGTTGGGGCAGCCTGTGACCACAGTACCTTGCACCACAGAGCTTCATTATGGCCTTCACCCTGCCTTACTTCAGAGCAGCTCCTGTCCACCAGAAATTTCCAGGGAGAGAATAAGGGCTGACACTCTGCCAGGCCTGGCTGCCTATGGTGGGAGCTGAGTTCTGAGTTCTAAATCAGTCTGCAGCACGGTGATGGCAGGAAGTGGTTTTGGTGGGTGGCTTCCAGAAGCAGGTACATCCCCCTTGGTATTGCCAGGCTCCCCACCCAGCATCTTCCTCCACATGAGAGCCTTTCCAGTCGTCCTCTGTCAATCCTGTGCCTTCTGCTGGTGGCTCGTGGACAGCTGCCCTCCCCATGACCAGCTACTACCTGGGTCTCCCATGGAACAGCAGGAGGGTGGCATCTCTCCTACTGCACTTACCGGGCATTGCTGGGCTCTGGAGATGGGGATGAGGGGAACAGATGGCCGCAGAAGAAAGGAAGCAAGGAAGGAGAAAGTTCTAGGAGCAGAGAAGGCTGCCCCAAGGAAGGGAGTGGGAGGTTCCAAGGCAGTGAAGAGACGCAGGCCTCACAGGAATGAGGTAGGGTTGGCCCTGGGTGGGACAAGGTCCGAGCTGTGGAGAAGGCTTGAGGGACATGTGGAGCAGGGCCATGTCAGCTGCTTCCCCCTTAATGCAACAGACAGGCAGATGGACAGGCAGACGGACAGAAAGCACAGAGAGATAGCAAAGAGACGCACAGAAGAAGTCAAGAGGGAAGGAGAGGGTGGACCTATGAGCACTCCTGGGGCACACCAGTGCCTGCTCTTGCCCCGCAGCTCCGTAGCCCCAAGGTGGGGATGGTGCTGGTGAAGCCCCTCTGGGCCCAGTGTCAACAATGTCAGCCAGTATTTCTGAGCCAGGTGGGTGGCCCAGTGAGAGTGGGTGCTGGCACGCTGGGGGCCTGCGGTTTGAGGAAGTTGGAGTGAGTGCGCATGTGTGCACTTGTGCTGTTCTTGAGGGTGATGAGTTTGCCCAGCAGGGACAGGGTGACTCTCATCCCTTTCTTAAAGGGCAGAGTGGTCTGAAATGACAACTTAAGCAAGAGGAGGGGTACCCCAACAAGGGACCTCTCACCAGTTCCTAAAATAAAAACAAAAACAAAAAAAAAAAAGAAAAGGAATCAAGCTGGAGGAGTCTGAGACAAGGAAGGTATAGTTAGTGGCCCCTGTGCAGGGGCTGGGCATGTGATGTCCCAGAGGGGGCTCACTGGAAGGAAGGAGGTGGCCTAGAACTGTTCTGGCGAATGCTCTGGGCTCATACTCGAAGGTTCTCTGTTTAACTTTTTAAATCTTCTGAGTTTGTTAGCAAAAGCAGGTCTCCTGATTGAGAGTAGGGCCCACAGTTTCCTGAGTTCTTCCCCCTTGGACACACTGTAGGGTGGCAGGTCCAGTAGTCTAGTGGCTTTCCCTTTGTCTTTGTAAGAAGATGTTAGCAATTGTGGGAGTTGCTGCCTCCTTAGGATGGTCTTTTTAACATGGTCAGTGTGATGGGAACTTTTCATTGAACTGTATGAAGGGAATAGATTCTCCCAGCTTTTCAGAGGAGAGAGCGTGCAGACCAGATTGGGTTAAGACCTTCCAATCCTGAGGCCTGTTTGGAAAGAGTGAGGGCGCTTTCGGAGCAAAGGTAATAAACAGAGTGCAGGCTTGGAGGATGAAAGGCCCCTGAGCTCCAGTTCCTGGGACAGCTAATATCCAGTGGCTCTGGGAAGGGCTCATGGGGTAGGCACCACCTGTACAGGAGCAATCAGCCACCAGCAGGCCCATCTGGGCAAGGTGATGGCAGCATCCTTTGGAAACCACCTCAAGGAGAATGCTGAAAGCTGCCACTTTAGTCTCTGAGTAGGTGTGCTGGATTCTTCCACTGCAAATGATGGCGACAAGGTACTCTCCTCCCCCCAGCCCAAGGAAGGCAGTCCTGTGCCAAGGAACACCGAACAAGGCCTCGGCCTGACACCTGACACCACCAGCAACAGCCCAAGTTCATGAATCATCAGCAAAGGTAGACCAGTTCAAGAAAAGAAAGCCAATGGCAGAAGGAGCACTAAACGCAAACCAAAAATCCAAACAAAGCAAAGAACAGAGGGTCCGGAGGTGCCGTGGGCTTGGTACATTTCACAAGAGGGACGGCTTTGGAGACACCGTCTGGGCGGGAAGGACTCTGGACAGGGCAGTGAAGAAAGAGAAAGAACGGAAAAGCCACGGTGAGCAGAAATGCAAGACTGGAAAAGAGAGAAGGCAGAGTTGGGAAGGCTTTTTTTCCCCCAGAGATGTCATTTATGGGAGAAAAGGGAAGTCAAGACTCACTCCCAGCAGCGCTGGCAGGATTGGCGGCAGAGAGAATTGCGTGAGTGGGGGTAGAAAGATTGGTTACGTCATGGAGCTGGCTGAGGACTGAAGACCGCCGGCGCACAGCACCCTGAAATGAACCGCTTCTCTTGAAGGTACTCACTACCTCCATCTGTGGGAGAGAAAATGAGATAAAGTTTGGCTTGCACTGTTGTCCGGGCTATTGCTCGGGATAGGGCTGGGCAAGGACAAGGCCACACTGGGCACATATCATGACAGCAAAGCCTCACGTGGGGCTGCCTTGCTCGTTGGGAGCCGGCGATGCATCTGACAGGGCCTGACTGACTGAGGCTGGCCTGTGTCATCCTCCAAGAGAGGGTTTGCTGAGCAAATGATTAGTGGGCACAAGATTTGGGGAGGGTGTTACACATTGGGGACACACTGCAAACATCTCCATTTGCATTCACAATATGCTCATGACAAGCCACTCGTCAGGAAGTACCTGTGTCTGCCATACTTTGTTATCCTACTTCGTACTTCTCAACCTTTTTTCCGCCCCAACACACCTGAGGGATATGACACGCTCCCATCAGAAATGAGGCTCCCCGTGACATGGGGGACGGGGGCCCTTCCTTCATTGGGGGAATCACTGTCCTCATCTACTCTAAGTAAGATGGCCTGCCCTCTTCTGCAGGAAAGGTGCCATCACTCTGGCTTCTGCAGCTCCTCCAGCTCACTGGTGGGAGGCAGCCCCTTGAAACCTCACCAGAAGAATGGACTTAGAAGGAGGGGCACTTCCCAAAGCAACTGCTTTGTCTTGTCAGAACATCTCACAGACCCACAGGTAGAAAGGCTGGAAGGATTAGGGGGCCAACATGGCCTCTGCCGTGTCCCCACTCCTTAGGCTTCCTAGAAGTTGAAAGGGAAGTGAGGCTGCGTGAACTGTGACCCATGGGACAGCCTTGCAACGAGCCTGGCTCCCTTGGCCCAGTATCCTTGGCTTTCCTGCCCCACCCTGGGCCAGCCTGGGACCTCCTAGATGCAATGAGCAGGAGCTAGCATGGCAGGGGCTAGCTACCTGGTAGCTACCAGTTTCAGCAGGGTGTGTGACATGGGCCAGAGCTTCTTGGAGGAAGGCAGCTGGAGTTTCAGACTCCTCACACACCATCCAAGCAAGGGCATGCTGTCCATCCCCTCCTGCCCGCACACTCTGCTCACTTGCAGCTGAAGTACCTTTGCAGCCACCCACTGGGACTGAGGAATGCATACTGAGTGCACGGTGGTGGCTTAACCCTGCTGAAGGTGTCAGCACATGGAAGGAGGATGACTGATGCAATGGCGCCACTGTCCCTTGGGGGGTTCTCCTCTCTAGAATATTTACATGTTTCTAAGGCAACGGAGACAGGTCTCTCTCAAGACAAGACTCTCACTGCAGCCAGAGCAACAAGGGTGGGAAAGACACCTTTCCTGCCTTGGATTCACCTGGCTGTGGACGGTGTCCCAATGGGACAGTTGTAGTGGTTTAACAGTGCA